AATTATTTTATGCATATATAGTAATTTATCGCTTAAAGTGCTTATTGTCAAAGGTAATTTACGATTTTATGCGATATAACTCAAAGCGAAGTTCTAAAATAAATTACTCAAAAGATATTAGATCTCAAAGGAGCTAATTATTTGTTTAATTATGTACCTTTTTGTAATTATTTTTAAGAACTTTTCTTATTTTAAGTTTTATCTTAGTGTTTCTTAGGAAAAAAACGTATCTATGTGCATATTACGGGTGTTTTTTTGAAGAGAAAAAAAGAATGGAACGCAATTTCAAAACTACAGGCGTAATACTTGCAAGGCTTGAAATGCAAGCACACACGTGTAGTTTAGTAAGTACCTACATAACAAAATAGATAACACGAATAGATACTATGTAAAATTAATCAGCACGTGTACATTGTGTCTTCAAGTTTTAGACAAAAGTTAAAATTTAGTACGCATATATTTTATATGAAAATTTGAATTTCTCTAAAATTTCATATATTTTATATGAAATTTTATATAACAAATTTTAATTGTAATTTTTTATTATCGAAATATTTTCGAGACAGAGAAAAATTCTAGTTTTCAATTTCAAATGCAAATAAGGTTAATTATTTTCTTACCGACCGTATTGTGTATACAATAGGTAGGTTATGTGATGGGAACAAATTTTGCAAATCGAGTTTTCGGTGGAAATGCATTTCTCTATGGTAGGGAAGTGTAAATAAACTATTTTTAGCAACCTGTCGCTCTGTCGATCTGTCGGTTTGTCGGTCTGTGTGTGTACGCGTGCATCGGCTGAACCGATTTTGATGAAATTTTATATGTAAGTTTATTTTAACCATGGCACGGTCAAAAAATTTTATATGTAAGTTTATTTTGACCATTTTGAAGAAAATATTCAACTCATTTACTTGAAATTTCATTTATAAGCTTCGCTCGACCGTCCGGGAAACCTCCTAACTTTTGGAAGAAATATACATTTTCGCGTATATAAAGAGAAATAATTAACCGATCTCATTGAAATTTAAATTCTTCGTATTAAAACAATAAACATATAAATTTTTGGAAATATCAGAGTTCGAAAACTCACCTGGGGGACAAATTTTAGATTTTTCACCATATCTACGGGACGAATTCATGGAATTTCTTGAAATTTGATATTTGAGTTCTGGATGTTACCAAAACTAACTGGCGAGCATTTCAGGGAATTCGGGCAGTACAAAGTAAAACTCTACTAAGAGTCATATCTACATTCTTTTACGTATGTTAACTATAAGCGTACTAATGTCCTAAGAATTGGAAAAAAGTATTTAACAGACACTTTTATAATATTCTGAAACACTTTCACTTAACTAGACAATACACATTGCGGTCGGTTAAGTGCTAACCACATCGAATTTTTTTGCTTGTGTATAAGGCTGTTTATATAATAGTCCATGATAAATTATTAAATTATTTACAAAAAATAGACCTATAAATATTAAATTATATTATAAATACTTAAACAGAAAATATTTTTGTTCTTTTATTCATAACTTTTCATTTTTGAATTTTATTTTTTTTTTAAATTTTATTTAATAAACATTTATGTTTATGTTATTTAAAATGTATAATGTGCAATATATATATATATGCAGTATTATCATTTTATTGATTAACACGTTCAAATATATTTTTATATTACATACAGTAAAACTTCTCAAAGCTGGAAATTCAAGGAACCGAAATATTTTTCCCAGGGCAGATAGTTTTCCGGGATGTACAAGTTTTTTAATGATTATGTTTCTAATCCTTTTCATATATATACTCGTATGTAAAATGGAATTACGATTAAGATTTTTGTTGTATAAAACTAATTTAAACAAAAGTAAAAACATTTGTGGTAGAAATTTGCAATTTCCCGCATTACGGGAATATTTCATTCGAATATATGAAAAATTCTAAAATTTACAAGTTTTTGCATTTTTTTCTTAAGGGAATTTTTTTTTAGGGACAGCAGAATTGGAATTTCGCTGGCAAATACAAGTTTTTGTTTTTGACAGTGGCCATCCCTAACAAGTTTTTGTATATACATGCGTAAGACTTGTATTCACAAACGTAGAATAAACAGCTGAACTTAAAAATATGTACAGCAGAAAATAGTAACTTAAAACTTGTGACTTAAAAAATCTATATTGCCCACTCTCCTTCTCTGTATCTACAATTCCCTAATGCAACTCTATTCTTCGTTTCAAATCTTTATTATACTGATACGTTTCATACCGTTAGAGAACGGTAGTATCATAAACTTCAACATGAGTATACATAGTTGCCCTGTCATATTGTGGCCACGAGAAATACCATTATCAATAAAAAATTTAAATATTAGATGGTTTTCTGAAATTTCAACTTTAAAGTCTTATGTAGCTGCATGAATGAGGGCCCGAAAAGCAAAATTGCTTTATTTGATATTTTTGTAAAAATATTGTTAGTGTACTGTATATATTAATATTGAGATAATCGTTTTGCATATTTTTCATAATATATGTATGTATGTAAATAAATATTACTTAGTTTTTAATTTTTATTCTTTCTTGAAATAAATGTTCCATATTTTTTTATATACATATATAAAAAATTTTAATTCATAACAATATTATTATTTATTATACAAATTCAATATATAAATTTAAGATTAGCAATGAAAATTTGTTTGTATATATTTATCAGCCGTTATAAAAATAAAAATGTATTTAATATATTATACAATGATAATAAAACAATGTAGATATTCACAAATTTATGAATTTAAATCATAAATCCATGAATATTATATATATAGCTATTTTAGAGAGGTGAAAAAGCACGGGTAGTTCTAGAAAGGCTAGAGACATGGGACAAAAGGCATTACATAGGGTTTTGCCTGTACGGTCCCAGAAAAAACATTAAATTCACCCACCCTCTCTTTCACCCTTTGTCAAGATGTTTTGTGGTCGCTTTTTACAAAATGGTACTACGTAGGGGTAACTTTTATTTACTTTTGGTGGTATAAATATTGTATATATAAATTAATTTTTGGAACTGTGAGTTATAACAAAAAGTGAACACTTTCTTTAGAAAATGTTAGACTTAATAAAATCTTAATTGTTTTATAATAAGTATGTACGTCCGCATTTAGTTATGTATTCTTCTCGCGATCTGCTGCAAAATGTATAAGTAAGCAAAACATAAGTGTACATTAAATTTCTTGACAATATACTTGCAAGGCTTGCAATTCAAGCACACACGATTAGTTTTAATATATAAATAAATACTTCCTATGAATTTTTTTTTCGAAATCTGTTGTAAATCTAAAAATCGAAATGATTTCAAAATGAAAAATTACAATGAATTGCAAAATAAATTCTTTTTGGTTACAATCAACGATAATATTTATTTTACCACCCAAAATGTATAAAAGTAATTGCATTACAATACGAATATATACACATTAAATTTTTAGTTTTGTGATTGTTTAATTCCTTATTCGTATTACATAGATTTATATTCAAACGCGCACGCATACAATGCAACATTGTATAGTCGCATGCAAATAAGAATTATAACAAGTAAAAACGTTTCAGTCGGTATAAACCGATTGAATTATACCCTGCACCTTTCATTGTTGTACAGCAATTACTCGAACCTGTGAAACCATTCTATTGAAACTCCACGGATATGTCTGGGCCATAATTAGACACGCAACTGAAAAGTTTTATGAACCTAACTTTATTACTTTTTTGAATATTTTGAATTTGCTTATGAACTTGTATAACACCTACCAGAACCTGTCAAGATAATGCACCAAAACTTCAGGAATAAATTTGACCAATAATTGGATACACGATTGCCAAGTCTTGTGAATCTAGCTTCTTTGAATATATAAAATATATAAAAATTTTTTATATATATTTGTATGAATAATTATGAGTTGTATGGCAACCACCCGGACCAGTGCTGTCCTCCCATTATAATTTTTATAGCATATGTAGAATGTAATTGGACACACGTATTCAAGATTTCATATTTATACCTCTATGTTTCATAGTTTTTGAAATATTTAAAAGAAACTCTTTGAGTTGTATGGCAGCTACTTGAACCCGTTATATGAAATGATCCAATTACAATAGGATCCGTCCTTGGCACAAAAGAAACAACTAAAACAAGTAAAAATTTGGTGTCGATTGCATTATTTGTTTTTGAGTTATTGTGCGATCAGACGGACGGACATGTCTAAATCAACGCAGAATTTTACGCTGAGAAAGAATATTTATATATGTCCATACCGCAGATGACTCCTTCAAGTGGTTACAAACTCTATATCAAAGTTAATATACCCTTCATGAAGGTGCAGGGTATAAAAAAACAGTTTTACAAAACTGATTGTAATTAAATATTTTTAAACAGTTTAGTTGCTTGTGTGTTGATTAACAATCAAACTGGTATTACAAAACTAAAAATTGCATATCTATCAAAACCCTAGGGTCTACCATTTTTTTTAATTTTTTTTTTGTCATCGTATAATCTGAATATACCAAGTTTGAAATATGAATTTGCTTTTAATTAAACTTGTATATATAAATATGTTTGTTACAAAAATATTGTGGGTAATATTAGTTGCCTATAGACTGCGGAGACTCTAAAAAAAGAACTCAATTCAATTATTATACTATAATCTATAGATTCTTTGACTTGAAGATTGCATTAATATTGTAAAAAATACGCATTTCATCCAAATTAAAGTTTATTTTTTCAAATAATTCCACATTTCAAGTTTATTTATATACATATATAAATTCAGTATATTGCTAAATTCGAATTGATAACTTTTTTCTTAGGAATTGATTATTATATACTTCAAATGTTGAAGTAATTGCAAGGTGAAATTCCAAAAAAAAAATTAAGAAGAAAGAATATAAATTCAAATCTGTAAGCAATGAAGAAAAAAAAAACAATATTTTTTTTTATTTTTTAATTCTTACCTTGTTGAACATCTAAACCAGCACGTTCCAGCATATAAGGAAGACCTTTGTAATAATATGTTTGTACATATATAAATGAATATTAATTTTAAAATATTACCACATTTCATATATAGTTAAATTTATTTTTGTTTCCTTTTTATTTCTTCATACTTTTTTAAAAGAAACATGAAATTAATACTTACCACCAGCTAATGATAATGGTGATTTATCACTAATACGCTTTCTTATTGATGATATGTTAGGATTACCTAATAAATTTGGTGAACGTAATGCAACTGGCATCATTGGATTTGTTAAATTTAATGTTGATGGACATTGCATAAAATTTACATTATTTTCCTATATTTAAAAAATAAATACATAATTTTGAAATCCGTTTTTACGAAAAATTTAATTGAATAAAAAATCATTAACTTCCAAAATGCTATAATATGTAATGCAAAATCTTAGCTTGCAGTTAAGATGGGTAACCATATAAAATTGGAATTTATGCATGCATATTATTTTTTTTGATTTAGGATTAACAAAAATATTTTAATACACCACGTATACTCGTATAACTGTAATATGGGAATTAAATTCTGCTTTCTCAAATCAGAGAGTTGAGAAAAAGGAATTTAAAATTGAAATTCTTAGCCGACTTATTAGCTTAAAGTTATCTGGTATCCGATGATATTAACCAGAGAGGTGTTAAAATAATAAAATTTTTCGAATGACTATAAAAACTTGAAATTTAATCTAACAAAACTGCAATGATTTTTTGTGTTTTAGAATGTTGCCATTTAATATGAATTAAAATTGTTGATTAAATTAAAAATTTAAGTGTTATATAAATGGAATTTCAGTCACACAAGTTTTTACCTTACAATCTGATTTCTTATCATTTCTAAATTGTTTCATAATATAAAAATGCTGTAACATTGCTTGTAAGCGATCACGTTCCTTTTGTAAATGAACTTCCAATTGTGACACAACTTGCATTTGAACACGAGCTTGAGCAGTTGAACGATCATCTAAGCTATGCTCAGTATTAAGATGTCTAATTAAAATTCGTTTATTTTTTTTTAAATTATAATTTCATTGGAAAAAAGAAAAAAAAATAGTATTTTTTTTTATTGTTTTGCTTTTAAATTTTATTGTTATTTTTAAAATTAAAACATTAATTTAATTTTTACTGTTGGAAACGAATTTTATTTAATTTACACATGCATGTACCTTGAGTTCCAAAATGGATTAATATGATGTTAATGCACAATTCAGCTTATGAATTGTAATTGCTAAATTATGTAGTAATACAGTATGGTTGCAATTTTATAATAAAATATGAATAAAGCTTATTCATGTCTTCGAAATTTGCTACTATTTCAATTTCAGTTAAATATATAATTTAATTATAATTATTTTATAGCCTGTGATCATAAATGAAATAAAGTTGAGTTAAACAAATTATTTGTATTGTAGCACTTTTCCCTACAACAAGTGAAAACACTGCTTTTGAAAACAATCTATGTATACTTACTACATACTTTCATTTATATACGAAATTACGACGGCTGTCCCAGAATTAAGTAGCCTAACCAAAAAAACACAAAAATTTAAAAAAAAAAATAAGCCTGGCAGAAAGCCCTATCATTTTAAGGATTAACTGTCACATTTTATTTTTTTTTTTTCTTTTCAAATTACAGACTATTAATAGTGAAGCTTTTCAGTAAATTTTTAATATGGATGAAATTGGTCATCGTTATGTCATTCAATATTTTTATTTGAAAGGTCTTAGTCCAGCCGGTTCAAAAGTGAACTAAATTCTACACTAGGGGAGTCTGATCCCTCATATGCAATGATTAAAAATTGGGTAGCGCAGTTTAAACATGGCCATACGAGCTGTGAAGATGAACATCGCACTGGTCGACCAAATGAGGTCACCACGCCAGAAACGGTTAAAAAAATCCACAAAATTATACTAGACGATCGTCGATTGAAAGTTCGTGAGTTAGCTGATGTAGTAGGCTTATCAAAAAGTGCTGTATATCGGATATTGACCGAAAATTTGAAGATGAAAAAGCTTTGCGCAAGATGGGTGCCGCGTGTACTCACAATCGACCACAAACAACATCGTGAGGATGTTTCAATGAACTGTTTGGCCATGTTTACTAAAAATAAGACCGAATTTTTGCGTCGATTTATAACAATGGATGAAACATGGGTTCATCATTACACTCCTGAAACAAAAGAGCAGTCGAAACATTGGACCAGTAGGGGAGAACCGGCTCCGAAGAAGGCAAAAACTACTTTATCGGCTGGAAAAGTTATGGCTTCCGTTTTTTGGGATGCGCGTGGGATAATTTTTATTGATTATCTTCAGAAGGGACTTCTAGGATCGCATGTACTTGGGATGAACGATTTATGCAGTCTTTGAAATAAAGTAACAATTAATTTAAAGGGTTAACATAATGCTCGATTTTAGGGGTTAATTGTGTGAGTTAAGAAAAATAATTATGTTTTTTAATGGCATGGAATTAACTGTTAAATTTCGGCGTTTATAGAAATTTAAAAAAAGCTGGCGGTTTAGCAAATATAAAGTGCCAAATATTTAAATTTTACAAAATTCGAAAGACGAAAAAAACTGGAGAGGTAGTTGAAATAGACAAAAATTTTCTTCTAATGAAATGAACTATTTATTAGTATATAAAAGTTATTATATTAGAATTTTACAACCTAGGGTCTAAAGGAAAAACGACATCAAAAATTTGAAAAAAAAGACTTTAGATAACGGTAAATTTGAACGGCCATTTTGTTTTTATAAAGTTTAATAACAGTATGCCACGATAGGAGAAGCAATCCACTGCCTTTCTGCGTTGCAAAATTTGAAAAATGCTTGTGGTTTCATTGCAACAAATAGTTAAAAAAGGCAATTTTTATGGTTTTGGGGGGGGGGGGGGGTAAAACTTGTAGAGGGGAAAATAGATAAAAAATTTTCTTCTACGGAAATAAGTTTCTAGTAAAGATCTATGTACGTACAATATTGCATCTTTCTATATTCAAGGGTGTAGAAGTTTTGTAAACATGTTAACGGACGGACGGGGAACGGACAATAATAATTATAATATAATTTGTTAATACTAGATGATTTTAAATTGTATATAAGTAAATTCATACAACAGACACCTTAATACAAATCTAGAATCAATTTTGATCAGTTTGTAAATTCTAACAGGATTCTCGATAGACAATTTTATTTTATATAATATTATATATATTGCAAAATTGTAAAATTGGTTGATTGAATTACACTGCACAAAATAAGACATTCTTCTATTTAATGTCAAAATTGCTTGCTCAAACTTTATAAACTCTATATTTGAATACTAAAATAAATTTATCGAACTGTTTTATAAAATCTATGACTAATGTGCTTGTAATTAAAAATAATTTTCAATTGAAATCTTCATACTGATTGCGCTGGTGTGCATATATTTGCTTTAATAATATTGTTTAGGTGAGCCTGGTTCTCACTTGTATAGCACCCTACGCGGTTTCCAAAAAGTGCACTTCCACCTTCCCTCCATAATTGCGCATAATAAATCACTTCCGCGTAACTTTATCATGCTGACTGTCATAATTATCGTAAAGATTTGCCAATTAAAGCCTGGAATTGAGCTTTCAGCTTTTTGTTTTGCAATATTTGCGTATATACTGGTGCATATTATATGCTATCATGTTAATTTCAGTGAGAAATTAATATGAATAATAGAAAGGGAAAATTTTTGGAAAACTTATAATGAAACAATTTTTATTTTTTACGATTTAGTTATTTTTCTAAGTTTTCAATTGCGCCCCAGTTTTTCGGTGCCCATTGCAAATGCTTACTTTGCATATATGGCATATTTACTTTGCTATATCTTTGTAAATATAGAATTCAATGAAACTCTATATTCTAGAGTTTAATTGAATTCTATATTGTATGAAAATGTATTGGTAAAAATTCTCGTGCTCAAAGCTTAATTCTAATTCATTCTGTAAATCATGCTTAAACTAATAAATAAAAGAGATTGTCAGTATAGTAAAGATACAAGACCTTTTTATTTAAGTAAATAAATATGTAATCTCTAAAATTCCAATTTTTCTCTAATAATATTTTAAATATTTTTAGTATTAATAAAAATTAAGTCACTACTGCAATCCAAATTCCTAATACTCGTAGCTGCGAAAATAGCTCTAATTTTTGGTATTCTCAATGAAACTGCACAATACGAGCATAAAAACATAAAATTGGCTGAGCAACTTTTCGTCCTCTAACCTGTTTTCAATGCATTTTCAAAAATATTTGAAAACACTTTTTAATAAACAATTTTGATTTTTTAAAAAACAATAATGTTATACACAGCAGGCAATAAACAATTTAATTGCGGAACAGTTAACAAGTTTTCGCACAAACAACTTACACAATAATAAATGCTTTTCTCTGATGTAAACTTTTAGATTTGCAATAGGATTCAATTGTCTAGTTATATTCTACTAATGAAATTAAGAAAATTTAGGGCCATCAGAAAATAACAGAAATTTCTCGAAATCATGCACTTATATATGTGGCAGAACATAAAAACTAGTACTATCGAAATCAAAGTAATGATAACATCATAAATAAAATAAAAGATCGTTTCCTATCTTCTATAAAACTAAAAATTTCAATAAGACTATGTGAGTTCTTAATCTACCGCCCAATTTTATACTAGTTACAATATTCCTTTACAAGCATTTTATTTTAGGTTACGATTATTGGGTACTAAAGTATGGTAAAATTTTATCTTTCTTACCGACCGTATTGTGTAAACAATACGTAGCTGATGTGATGACAACAAATTTTGCATATCGAGTTTTCAGTGGGAACGAACTTCTCCACTAGGGAAGTATAAATAAACTATTTTTAGCAACCTGCCGGTCTGTCGGTCTGTGTGTGCACGCGTATATTTCAAGTTCGGCTAAACCGATTTTGATGAAATTTTATATGTAAGTTTATTTAGACCATGGACCAGATTGATCAACTTTTGGGATATATCAGGCCTCGGGAACTGCATTTTTAAGCGGGCCGGTTTTACATTTTTGACCATTTTGAAGAAAATATTCAACATATTTACTTGAAATTTCATATATAAGCTTCGCTCGACCGTCCGCGAAACCTCCTAACTTTTGGAAGAAATCAAGTGTCAGCAACTTGACGTTTACTATGGGCCAAATATACATTTTATAATGTGTATATAAAGAGAAATAATCAACAAATCGGTTAATGAAATCTCATTGAAATTTAATACTTAAATTCATCGTATTAAAACAATGAACATATAAATTTTTGGGAAAGATCAGGGCTTGAAAATTCATCTGCGGGCAAATTTTACATTTTTCACCATATTTACGGAGCGAATTAATGGAATTTTTTGAAATTGGATATTTGAGTTCTGGTTGTTACCGAAACTAACTGGCGAGCATTTCAGGGAATTCGGGTAGCACAAAGCGAAACTCTACTGAGAGCCAAATTTACATTTTTTTAGGTATGTTAACTATAAGCTTACTAATGTCCTAAAAATTGCAAAAAAGTATTTAACAGACATTTTTATAATATTCTGTAACATTTTCACTTAACTAGACAATACACATTGCGGTGGGTTATGTGCTGATCACATCAGATTTTTTATTTATAAAATTCAACCCCATAAGCGTATAATTATGCTTTACGCTTGTCAGACTCCCATGCATATTACTGCCAGTATGTAGTTTTTATAATAAAAACAATATTCATTCGTTTGATACTTTTTCTGTTGCACAGTTCTTATTTAATTTTACTCGGACTGAAAGGCTTGTCAAACGCACTTAAACCACTGCTCCGGGAAGTTTTTCACACTGAAAGAGTTCGGATTGATTCATGAAAAAGCCCATTCGTTCATTGCCTCTTCTTCACGGTTTAGTACTGAGGAAATTATCAGGATAAGGCAAATTGTGAAAAATGAGAAATTGTCGACGTCACACTCTCTTTTGTTTCTCGTA